GTCAGAGGCGGTGCGGTTGGCGCAGGATAGAGCAGGGTTTAGAGCTGTTGTGCATAGGGTCGCTATGAGTTGGAAACGACTTGACGGCACATAACAACAACAACAACAATACTAGGGAGCTCTGGTGGCTTAGTAGTAAGAAACTGCTGCTGTCTCGAAGTCATGCAGTTAGAATCCACCAGCTGCTCAATGGAAGAAGGATGGGTCCTTTTGTTCATTTAACTGCCTCTGAAAATCACTGGAGGGTCAACTATATGTTAGTTCCGACTCAACAGTACACAACAACAATGTTATATGTAAGGAGCTCTGAAATCTAGTGGGTAAGAAGTTGTGCTGCCAACCCAAAGGAAGATAGTTTGAAATACCCGCTTGTCTGAGGGAGAAAAATGGGTAGTCTCCCCCTGTCCAATACACAGCTTCTGAGAATCTGCTAGAGAGTCACCTCTGAGTTGATTCCAAATTAATGACAGTGTGTGAGTTTGAATTTTTAAAATGTTGTAGATAGGACGTTTTACATAATTTTAAGGATTGTTTATGTGTGCAGAGGTGACATGCTAGAGATGTTTTAGTTTATGACATTAATTTTCATTGCTATCAGAATATTTAATAAGGATGACCTTTATTAGTAAGTTTATTAATATCTTTTTTATTTATTTACTCCTCTTAAAACATATACACATACTATTTAAGTGTATATATCATATTCATAGTTCTGTGCCATTTACTTAAGAACAACAGCAGAGAAACAGACACTTTAAAAACTCATACGTGATATATAAAATATAATATAATATAATATAATATAATATAATATAATATAATATTTATATAATAAAAACGTATGTCTAACTTTTTAAAATTGACAAATTGCTCAACTTGAAAACAGTCTTATGAGACCCCCAGCAAGATGAACTGACATAGTTATTAGAGCCATGGACTAAGAACAGTGAAAACATGAAGATGGTGAAGAATCAGTCTTTCATTGTATTTATTGTAAGGTCATTAAGACTTATCATCGCCTTGATGGCACCCAACAACAATGGCAACCACACTATACAGATTTAAGAAAGTTTGATTGATTTCTTTAACGTTTAACCACTTTATGATACAGGGGGTTTTTGTGTGTGTGTATTGTACAATATCTTGAGATTTTCTTCTCCGTTTGTCATTTGGACAACATTTAAATAGATCTTTTTTTGCATTTTAGATAATGATATTCTTTATGCACTTTGCACTCAAGATTGGGAATCTTTTAAAAAAAATTTAGTGGAATAAGTATTTTAACAGAGAAAATACAAATAGGCTTATCAAAAATACATTAATTTCTCTAAATTAGAAATTTTTTTAATTAAAGTGTAATACTTTAGGATTATTTTAAGTTTTGTAGAGATTTAACTTCCTATTCTGAAATTATTTTTTTTGTTAATTTGTAAATACATACAATATTTATTGCAAGCAGTGTTGTTTTGGATCTTTACTGACATACTGTGCACTTCAGTAGTACCTGTTAGGATTTTATTGCCCTTGGAAATTTTGAGGTAAAATAGTTGTCAATAGCATACTGGTCATTTTTTCTTCTCTTTCCAAAATTTTCTGAGTTAGTGTTTCTGAAAAAGAAATTATTTTCTTCATAGATTCACAGATGCTGCTGGTTAAATGGACTGAAACCTCCAAAGACAGTGTTATCATCATCTCCTTCAACCTTGCACTTAAACTAATTGCTGTCCTTGGGTGACTGCTTCCCACTAGCTAGTTTGAAGTCACAAACCACTGTAGCCACAGATGATTGAACCTGCCTGAAAATGTGCCTCATCTATAGGCACATTCTTTAAGTAAAAACCAGAATCAAATTAAGCAGGCCTTTCAATTCGACCTCCTGTTGTGTTTATTGATGAGAGGATTGCTTATTCTGTACTGCTTATATATACTGGTAAAGACTAATGTAATAGAATCTTTTTATTCACTTGATAATATCAGTTTAAACAAATTGAAATCATATCTTTTTTAGACATATGTGAAAAGCCAAGATAAACAATTTGCAGCAGCCACTATACAGACTATAGGCAGGTGTGCCACCAACATCTCAGAAGTCACTGACACATGCCTCAGTGGCCTAGTGTGTCTGCTGTCCAACAGGGATGGTAAGTCTGCAGTATCCTTCTATTTTCGAGTAATTAATAATCTGAATATTCTCTTGATGTAGTCTCAGTGTTTTAGCACTAACCCTTTCATTTCATTCCGCAGTGTTGTTAGTGTCATCTCATTGAGTAACGTTTAATCTTAGAGAGTTACAGACTTAGAGATGTATATGGAAGCATACACTTTGAGATGAAAATGATACGATGACTTGGAAAACAGTGTGTGTATTCCCTACACTCAACTAAGAAATTTTAATTTGTTTATCTTCAAATTTTTCAATTTTATTTACCCTTTCCATGATGATTCTATTTTACTGCTTTTTAATGGCATGTAAGTCATGTGTAATATTGGTTCACCTGCAGAGGGTGCTCAAAGCAGGCAAATGATTTTGTAACATGGATAAATTACTACATCAAAAAATATGTTAAATTTGTACCTTCAAAGTTTTTTCTACTCTGAAATTTACTTAATAATTTATATTCTGGATTAACTAGTGTTGAAATTGATAATTTGGAACAATTTCATATTTTTATACCAAGCCATATTTAGATATGCTGTAAAAATGAAGAGGTAATAAGTAACCAATAAAATCTATAATCAAGAATTCACATTGTTTTGTTGTTACTGCTGCAGGTATGGCTTCAGAATAAGGGAGACCAATTGAGGAAGAAACAAAGAATACACTTTTGCCTATAAAGTGGATTACTTAGAGACATTTTTAATTATTGTGCATTTATTTAGAATAGTAGATTCTTTTTAGGAAATTATTTATAGATTTCTAAATAAAATTATATAGTATATATACAACAGAAGTATATATTTCATAGTGGCCTGAGATAAAGCATAGAAAAATTGGTTATTTTTAATATTTTAAGTGAAATAAAACTTTCACTACAAAAGCCTTGTTACCCTTAAATATGTATGCCTTTATATAGCTCTTTTAAGAAAATTATAATTTTAAGATCTGATGAAAAATTTCAAATATACCAAATAACACAGATTTTATTTTGTGAACTTTAAGTTATAAATATTCGTATGTGTTAGTCAGAAAATATTTTTCACAGGCAGTATTTAAAAGAATCAGGTGGCATAAAAATTATTAATTGTGGTTTGTTTTTTTAATAAATGGTGGCTTTGAAATGGGCCTATGTGAGATAGAATAATGTTACCCATTTAATTTATAACATCCTTTCCCTTTTGTTTTCTATTTTTATGTTCCATTTTAAAATATGACTTTAAAAATGTCTCTGTATCTTTAAAATGACTGTCTTTGTGAAAAACATTTCCAGAACATTAAAAGTTCTAAATCAAGGTATTACCCAGGCATTTTTTCCTTCAAGATTTAATTTGAAATTGCTTAGAAAGCTGATTAGTTTTATCAAATACAAATAAAATCATAGTTTCTACACTTTAATTTTGACTCTTCTAGTGTAAAATTTTCTAGCTGTGAAAAGTAGTTAACTACTATTAACGTAGCATGATAATTTTAAAAAAAATACTTTTTATTGAATTTAATGGAAATGATGACTACTTTGCCCTCAGTACTTATAAGGGAACAATAGATTATTATCTAATTAGATAATGAAAAACTAGTATCTATAATCACTCCTAAAATGTAGGAGGATTTATTAATATAAGCTGTGATTTTTGAGTTAGGTCTTGTTTTCAGTGATCGTAACTCTATGAAGTTTGTGAAGTTTTATCTTGCTTCAGTATTTAAAAACTAAAAATTTCTTCTTCACGTTCTGGTTGCATAATCATTATTAAGTGATAATACCTGGGTCATTGCCTATCACATATGCTGTACTTACATAGTTTTGCATCTAGTTTGGGGGGGGAAAGCCAAGAGGTAAAGGAATAAAGAGAAAATATCTTTTAAGCTATTGCTGCAATTCCAAAGGCATGTGGGTTGAATCCATCAGCTGCTCCACTGGAGAAGGATGGGCAATTCTCCTCCCATGCGATTTATGACTTCTGAAAACCCACTGGAGGATCAGCTTTGACCTGGTTCATACGAGACAACACAAATACAAAAACAATGTATTTTAAAAGATAATACTATTAAAGTAATAATAGAATTTATTTTGAAAATGGCCTTTTAAGATGAGATCCTCTGGAGGAGGCCTAGATTTCTTTAAAATCTGTTAGATCTTTAGAGGCTGTATTTGTAATTCTTTGATTTTCTGGTGAAATGAGTATCACATCTTCCTTCAATAATGTGCCTTTAAAACCTGAGGGCTTGCATTTTGATTACATTATCCTTCAAACTCTCTACTGTAGAGCTGGTTCTGACCGAAAGTAATTCTCCATTGAGTTTCTTGGGCTGTAAATTGCAGAGAGAGACAGTCCATCATTTTCCTAAGGAGCTGTTGGAAACTCTAGCCTTTCAGTTAGCTTCTCTGCCTCTTAGAACTGTAATGCCTCCTCCTGGTTAACTAATACTAATTGCCTGCTGACTGAAATGATAGTAGTTTAAACTTTCCAGCCACTGTTTTGTTGTTTTTTTGTTTTGTTTTGTTTTGTTTTTGAGTCACTTTCCTGGGATTTACACAGTACCTCCACCAGATTCTGCTTGATGGGCTAGGGTATCTCCTTAAAGCCGTTTGGGCAGCAAGATGCTAGTAGGAGGAGCATATTAACTCCACTGCCTCTCACCCCTTCAGTCAAGTCTTCCAGCCAATAAAGATCATATCAAGTCTTAAATAAGCAGTATGTAAGAGTTATTTTATAACCTTTTGTAGATAAAGAATTTGAGACTCATACAGCTAAATTCTAATGTCATGAAATAAAAATGGAAAAACTAAGATTTCATTTTGTCTAACTTCAAAGCCTATGCTCTTTATAGGTATTAAAACATACAAAAGAACAATTGGATTACTCTCCTGCCTCAAGAGGTAGCAAAGATTTCATTCCTTTCAATGTTCTTCTCATTCTCTTTTTTCCCCCCAGTTTCTTTTTTTAATTGAGATTTTAATGAACGTTTGTAGAGAACATGGATTTCCATTCATTCATTGTCTCACAGCCACTCTTTTGAAACAAAGGCCAGACAATCTGCATCCATAAAGATTACAGCCTTGGAAACTGTGGGTCATTTCTTTTCTCTTCTGTAGGTTCTTTGTGAATTGAAATTGGCTAAATGGCAATGATTCTTAGAAATGTAAAGATGGGGCAGTTCTCCCCTGCCTCTAGGTGGTTTGGGTTATTTAAATCTTTTATTAAAGGATTAAGTGACATAATAAAGATGTACCTCTTACAAATAGAAAAAAAAATTAAAGATTTGAGAGTTTGTTGTTTTTTTGGTTTTTTTGGTCTCATTTCATTTTCTGTAAATGTTGATAGTTTCCCTTCTTGGCATGGGAAGGGCCTTTCTGAGAAGACATGAGGCTTTTCCTAGCAACAGCACAAAGCTAATCTTTACGATTAACTTGATAAACAAATTTCCTAAGGATCTTTAGGAGAAATCTACATTTAAATTGGAATTGACTTTGGATAATTTAATTTCCTAAAGTAATTTATTTTAGGTAACTTAATAGCAAAATTTGGTTATCTGAGTTCCCTTATTACCATTTAATTGTTAATTGACAAGAAATAGCTTCCAAAGTTTTGCTGCCTAGAACTTCTAAGGACTTTTTTTTTCTTTTTGCTTTGTCGTGCTTCAGTAAACATTTATTGAGGACCTGAATCTGGGGAGATACTTAATACATTTTTAATAGATGAATAAGGTATTTAGTCAGTCTACAAAATGTTCCTGCCTTCACAAAGAACTCACAATCTAATGGAGAAAGTTAGATAAAACAAGTCTACTTTGGAAGCAGGAATGACATCCATTTCCTAAATAACATGCCTCCGGAAACTATGAACTTTGATAAATGTCGATAGTTGCAGAGCGGCTTCAGGCCTTTTGTTAATAGGGTCGCTATAAGTCGTGTTCCACTCAAAGGTGATCAACAACAGCAGTCTAGTCTAGTCTTTCAGATATTGCTATTTTTTCTTAAATGTAGAACCAGGGTACTTACTGGTTCTTGAACACTAATGCTGTCTAGAATAAATTGTCCATCTCCATTTGTCTCTCATTTTTCATTTGTAAAACAGAGTAATAGTATATTTTACCCTAGAGTGATGATCATGGGTTTGTTGGCTGTAGGGAAGACACTAGGACGTGATCAGAACATGGGGCTGTTTTTTACTTCAGACAAGTAGCATCACAGTAGTCTTGGAAACCAGGAGTTGTCAAAGGAAAAGCAGGGTGGAGTTACCTGAGGAATAATGAGAAGGCGCTGGTGGCAGCAAATAATGCACTCTTGCAAAGATGCTTAATAAACATTACATAACATTTACTCCATAGGGTCAGGTGCGTAGGACAGATACATTTCTCCATCATTGCTGCCAAATAATATATCTGTGGCAAGGTGACTAGCTCCTTTAGCATGAAAGCTCAACTTCAGTGTCCCTATTGGAGGCTCTACTTCTTGTAGCCACTCCCAGTATTTCATGTATCATTTAGGACTCTGTAAGAAACTGATGACATATTCAAAAGTATGATAGAGAAGAATTTATGTAATGAAGAGGGGGCCTGTTAAAAAGTGTGGGAAGGTTTAAGGGAATGCATCGAGATACACTGAAAGACCAAAAGACTAGCAAGAGCGGGAACTCCTATTCTGTGTACAGTTAGAGAGTGAGGACGTGAGGAGTGCGAGTAGTTACCAGACACTACAAGAGAGAGGCACTTAAAAGAACTGAGACGTTTGATAGAGGAATACAAACACTACCAGAGATGCTTAAGGATGGACGCAATAGGTTATACTCCCTAAAATAAATCAATTTTAAACAACAAAATTACAAAACAACAAAAAGCTAGAATTCAGGTTTTTGTTATACAGATTCCAACTCATTGCTGCCAGACTGGAACTACTGTACAGGATTTCCGAGGCTAGAATTATTATTTTTTTTTAACATGATCCTAATTTTTTAAAAAAATTATATACTGGATTACTTAAAAAAGATCATAAAGTTCATATACATTGTTTTCACATCAGATCTTTCCCCTTTCCTTTATCCACTCCTCCAAGGCTGTAAATCTATGAAAGCAGATTGCCATATCTTCCTCCTGTGGAGAGGTTAGTGAGTTTGAACTGCCAGCCTATTGGTTACCAGTGGAGCACTTACCTACTGTAGTAGCAGTGCTCATTGGCAGAGCAGGATCTGCGATAGTACTCTACTCTCTCCTTCCTCCTTCTGATACTCCCTGTTAGCTTACACTCTAAAAGCCAGGCCAAGGGAATGGGATTATGGTAGCCTACTTCTGCAGATAGAATTGGTGGTTAAAAAAAGAATGCTTCTATGAGTTAAATGAATATAATTCTGCTCATAGTCCTAGAACTCTCTGGCCTGAAATCCTCACTCTTTTTATAGCAACATTTTTACTAATACTAGTAATATTGATTATTTAAAAATATGTAAAGTACTGTTTAGATTGTAGGTATTTGACCACCAGTATACAATTGATAGGAGTCAAAGAGCAGTATTTGTGAGCTCTGGTTAAGAGCTGAAAGAATTTATGCATATGCAGACCAACATAATCTTTATTTTGCTTTTCTGATTTAAAGATTAGAAAAGTACTACCAGAAACTAGGAAACAAGAGGTTTAGAGATTAATAATCTTCTTCTTGAGCCACCTCTTCAGGTCTCAAAAATTAGTAGTGCATGTGTGGTTACCAGTTTCCCTAGTCTTTAAGGCATTTTGGAAAATTTACTAATTTTAAAGTTTTTATTTTACCATGCAGATTACATTTGAATTAAATTATGCCTACTTAATAACTTGTCTTTTTTAGAAATAGTTGTTGCTGAAAGTGTTGTTGTCATTAAGAAATTACTGCAGATGCAACCTGCACAGCATGGTGAAATCATTAAGCACATGGCCAAACTCTTGGACAGCATCACTGTGAGTATTACTGAGCTACTTACTGAATTGAATTGAATTTTACCCAGTTAATTATAGTTTAAAAATAAATGAATATTGTGTGATTTAGTGGTTAAGAGAGCTAATCTACTTGGATTCAACTTCTGTCTCTCAGATTCTATGTGATTGTGAATAAGGCATTATAAATATGTAAAAGGGAAACGGCAGAATAGAATGAGCCCTGCATTGTTGAATTGGAGATACCATTGAGAATTAAGTAGGTTTTAATGTACAGAAATAGAGTGAGATTGATATGGTTATGGGTGTGTGCACATGTTAATGTGCACACATATGAATGTGCAACTGTATAAACAAGCATATCTTTTCCAGCTCCTTTGTGAGTGCCTAGAAATAGTAATACTGGTTAATTATGTTGCTAACCAAAAAGTGACTTGTTTTTGGTGGTTTGAATCCACCAGCAGCTCTTTGGCAGAAAGAAGGAGCAATATTTGCCCAGGCCATTTACAGCCTCTGAAAACCTACTGGAGGGTCAGTTATGAGTTGGTACTTGCTCAGTGGCAATGAGGGGGGGTTTTTTTGAGCATACTTCTTGCCTAAATATTATTTTTTTTAAATTGAAATACAGTTTCATCTCATAAAAGTCACTTTTTAAAATGTTAAGGATTCATAAGGCTTCAGTATATTTATAAGATGTACAGCCATCATCAGTAATTCTAGAACATTTTCATAACCCATAAAAAATTTCTTCAAATTCTTAACATCAATCTAGTCTTTAGAAACTTCTAATTTCTTTACTGTCTCTGCAAAATTGCTTATTTGGGTTATTTCCTATTATTGGAACCTTATATGTGTTTTTCTATGTCTAGTTTCTTTGATTTGGCATAATATATTCAAAGTTCATATGTATAATAATATGTATCAGTATGTCTTTGTTTTTTATGCTAGATCTTGATTTTTAAATGCTATTTTTATTAAATAGAATCAGGGCTCCATAGAAAAATGGCTGGCTTCAGGACTAGAACAGGGAAAGAACAAGAGAGGCTTGCAGCATCATGTTAACCTAATGAGAAAAGTAAGAATTGGCTCACAGAATGATAGCCAGATGTCACAGTGATTCAGCAGCCAGGTTGAAGGGGCTTCCACTGGCCAATCTGAACAAAAGAAAAGATAGCAAAAAGAACTGATAAGTTGATACTAGAATAATTGAATGAATGAATGAAAAAGTAAAAGGGAATCTTATAGTTCAAAACCAGCTTATAAATATAAAAGGAATGATGGAATTAGAAAATTAACATTTACCACTTGTCAAAATGGTAATTGAGTCAGGCGAGAATCATCAACAAATGCTAAAAATTGTAGATGAAATTTGAGAGTTGCCATTTTCCAAACACATCCTTGTAATAAACTTCCTGCTGACTGTTTCATTCATTCTGAGTCTTAGTTTATTTATATTTGCTTAATACTTCTTATTTTTAACCTTTATCATTTTTCTGAAGAGTTTTAGCAATGGTTTGTGGCTAGCTTTTATTTTCATCCAAATTTAAAAGTATATTTTAAATGAGAAGTCATTTTACCTATATTTAGTATTGGACATATTTTACTTCTCCTTCTTGTTTGTTTTATCAACCAAAATGTTTAAAGTGTTTAAAAAACAGTGCTTGGCACATGAATGAGCTTATAGCATGTTAGATATGTGTGTGTGTTTTTAAAAGCAAACAGATACTATCATATGACTTTGATTTTATCGGTATTAAGCATATAAATAATTGGAAATATGTAAACTAAAATTTAAATTTATTCTGCTGTTTGGAAATGTAATAAATATATGTCAGTATTAGAGTTAGCACGTATGATCTTACTATGACCATCTTATCTTTTGAAGTATCTTTCAATTGTATTAAATGTTACTTTTGGAAGAAAATTTTTCCAGAATAAAATGAGGATTGCTCGAACTGAATTTCACATACTATTTAGTGGGACAGGTAGCGATTTCATATCATAAAAGACCACTTGAAAGATGTTATTGTGTAAAGACTACTGAGTCTTTTTTAATATTGGAATAGCACTTTCTATGCTCGTTGCCCAGGTGTCTCCCTGAATACCTGACATTTCACAAGTTATCCACTCTTGCCCTGCCACCCCAACTTAATTCAGGCTTAAGTTTTAAAGTATATTGAATCCAGATACAGAAATTGGTTCTGATTTGCTGTTTGTATGCAATTTGCTTAGATGTCTACTGATTTTGCCTTTGACAAATTTAAATAAATAAAATTGATGTTTTCTTAGGATTTACTTTAGACTATTGCATTGTGCAGTAGACCGATGTTGAAGCACAATAGGTTTTAAATTGAACTGCTTACAGAGTGATCTGTAAAATCTTTCTAGATGTCTTTCTATAACTGCTGTGGTCGGCTTGGAATCATTATTTGTTTTTTTTAGGCAAGTTAATGGGTTAAAGTGGTGGTGGAAACTGCCTCCTATTTGGAAAGTGCACTTAACTACTTGCTCAGGGCATTTAGAATAAAGAATCAGGCAAAGTAATTTACAGTCAGTTTGTCTTTGAAAATATTGAAAAGCAAAGGATCTTATTGAAAGAATTATGTTTGTGGCTCTTTATGTATATATATATAATACATTAGTGTGGGTTTAGTTTGCAGTTCTTCTTTTTACCAGTGGCTTGAAAGACCACGGAGAACAAAATATTACTCATTTTCCTACTATTTTTTCAGTGACTTCAAACATTTGATACTGGTAGCCAAAGAATCATGCTATCAGTGCTGGATAAACAAGAGCCCTGTAACTCATTTGGGGAAGGGAGGAAAGGACTTGAGCTTTTAAAAAATTCTGATCCTAGTAAAATGCACAAAAACATTGGTTAGTTAATTTCCTAAGCTTTTAAATAAGATGCTGTTACCAAAAATTTGCTTTAAATATATTCATTTTTATATAATTTTTTTTTGTGGAGAAGTTTTGTAAATTTGGGGCTTTTTTTTTTTTTAGCTTGAGAATTTTAACCTCTTCTAGAATCTCTTTGGGTAATATCCTTTCTACCACCACTTTGAGATTTTTGTGGTGAGCATTAGAATTTCTTTTCTGTTCAAACAACTCTATTATAAATGTTTTATGTTGTATTAGGTGTTGTTGAGTACTTGACGATTGTCTCTTTTATCTTAATGTATTCACATATGTAAACTCTCTTAACAAGTTTCTTCTTTTTTGGTTTTGTTGTTGTTTGTTTGGTTTTCTTTTTTCCACCCAGTTTTCAAAGAAGGATATAGTTGTGTTACTAGAAAAAAATTACTTAAAGTAGGGTAATAGATTGTGATATGCCATATAACTCTCATTTTCATACTATCAATATACAATAAAATATTTAAGAAAAATAAATCTACCATAACTGAAGTCTGAAGTTGCCCATATATTCCTATTTAGAAGTACTTTTCATTAAGTCAGGCAACTTGAGCAGCTCCATACTGGAAAATTTAATGTACTACTCAATTACTGTTCTTTAGACTAATTTAAAATAATAGATTAAGAGAAAGGTCTTAATGCTGTGTAACCTTTGGAACATTAGAAATAACTTCTTTCTTTGCAGAAAGGATACCAGTTTTATTATACTGCATGAAGAGATGAATCATAGCTTTTAGACTTTTTCCCCCTTTCTTGATTTAGCATGTTGTTGTTGTTGTTATGTGCCATCAAGTCGTTTCCGACTCATAGCGACCCTATGCACAACAGCTCTAAACCCTGCTCTATATTGATTTAGCATAAGTATACTGATTTCTTCTCTTTTGCTCAGCTTAGTTAAAAGATATATAATTTTTAACAATGAATACTGTTTTGGTTAAAAAGGTTTTTTTTATTAAAAATTACTTCATTCTGCTTCTGATGAAAGTACCAATGTAGTGCTGCCTTAAATATTTTTTATTTAATAAACAAATTGACTGTTGTGAAACAGTTTGACTTGTTAGATATTATTATAAAATTTTCATTATGATAAATAAAATATTAAAATATTAAGCAGTATTAATCATACTTTTTTCTTTAACTGTTATAGGATTTATAGCTATGAAATGTACAGAGAGTATTAGGACTTTACTTGAGGAATGGGAAAAGGACTTTATTTTTAAAAGTATTAACATTCTTATTTTTTACACTATTATTAAATTAAAACCTTTGGCTTTTAATTTACTATGTAACCCAAATTTTTTATAGTAGGTGAAAATGTTTGCAGAAACTAATTTGCGTACTACTTCAAATTTGTTTTTTAATAGGGGAAGCTATAACTAAGCAATCAGTGATAAAACTAATTTGTGTATGGTAAATGTTCTTAATGGTATTGATGGAAGATTTCCAAGTTGGCATTAAGCAGTGATTATTTTTTAAGATAAAAGTGAAATTGAGGAAAAAAATGAAACTGAGATGATTTTAATTAAAAAAATTATAATGGCAAAATGCAGTTGTTGTTATGTGCCGTCGAGTCGCCTGCGACTCATAGCGACCCTATGTACAACGGCCCTAAACTCCGCTCTGTCCTGTGCCAGTCGCACTGTCTCTGACACTCCCATCCCAATTATCCCAGTCACTGAATCAATCCACCTCATAGAGGG